ACACACACTTGTAATTTTACTACATTTTACAAGTTTAACTTTACTCTGCATTGAGTTTTTATCACAAGTTTAACTTTACTCTACATTAAGTTTTTATTACAAGTCCAATTTCGCTCTGCCTTAAGGAGTCTACCCAGTCCTTATTACAATTTCAATCCCACTCTGTCTTGAGGAATTCCTAAATTCAACTTTTATCACAAGTTTACCACAAGTTTTTATCACATGTTTTCATCCATTTCAGACGCACAAGCAAAACAGTCAAAGGCAAAACACAACTGAAATTTTATTTATTCACAACCTTATACATAAGCTCATTACAGCAATTCGAAAAAAAAAAAAAAACAAAGCAAAAACAATATCGGTGCGCAGTCTTTTTCTCCTTCCTCCCCAGTTACTCCTCCTCACTAGAGAGGGGGTTTTTTCTTCAATACCCTCATCCAGGGGGGTTTGGGCCACATCGTCTTCGCCAATCGTTACACTACTAAGGTCTAAGTCTGGGAACAGCTCTTCAGCTCTACGTTTGAACGTCTTTCAGCCACTATCCCAGTACTCAACCATTTTGTGCTTATAAAAGTCTGACTGCTGGAAGCTCTCAATAACTTCTGCTTCAGTTCTGCCTCCAGCAGTCGTCCTCGATGGGCCCGCCCCCCCAGATTCTTGCCTAGTCAGGCTGCTCGCGACCGCGGTATCAATCGTCATCTGAAATTCAGCAGACCCTTAGAATTGCTCCACTGCTGCGACGCACATATCGGGATAAGTCGCCCTTTCAGAGGCTGCCTTTGCCCTCTCTTCGTCCAGCTCTTTTTGCAAGGTCGCCCTTTCCGACGCAGCCTTTGCCTTTTTCACCTCCAATTCCTTCTTCAGGCTCTCCTTCTCCGCCGTCGCCTGCGCTCTCTCTGTTTCCAACTCCTTCTGAAGCCTCCCCTTCTCCTCTACTGCTTTGGCGCGCTTGCCCTCCAGTTCCTTCTGGAGATCGCCCACTTTGCCATCGGCCTCATTTTTTTGCCTGACCAACTCTTCATTACTGCTCATGGCCTCTTCATGTCGCTCGACCGCGACGGCGCAGGCTCTTTGGGCCTCTTCCAACTTCTTCTGCTCACCAGCAAGTTGGAATTCGAGCGACACAACCTGGCGGCGTATGCTCTACAGCTTCACCTCAACTGCTTGCAGATCAGCATGGACAGCTTTCCAACTCGCCCTCTCCTTCTCCAACTTCGCAAGCTGGGCCTTGGCCTCATCTGCCTTGAGTTTGGCAGCCCTCGCTTTCCTCAACAGAGCCCCTGCTACGGTGGTTACCTCCATTTGGGCGGAGCATAACTCCCTCAGCAGTTCAGCCTCGTTGAATCTAGATGCCGTGCACAGGGCTGCCTCTTCTACGATCCCCACCAGGCGGTCTACCCCTGCCCTAGCTGAGTCTTCTTCTCCCTCTAGCCGCCCAGCCACCGCGCGAGCTTGGTAGATCGCTGTGGTCAGACTAACTCCCTCTCCTTGGGATGTAGGGCCCCCCTGGGGCTGGTCTTCTCTTCTTGAGCCAGGGCCGCTTGCCCCATCTTCTCCTTGCCCTTCAGGGGCGGCCCTTGCGACCCATGCGGCAATCGCCGCCGCCACCACTAGCACCACCTCCATGCCTTCTGAAGCAACATCCACCGCTTCTGGGCCACCTACCCTTCCTGGGGTCCCCTCCACTTCTCTCCCCTCAGCCCCCTTGGCAGCACTGGTTTCCTTCACACTTGTCTCCCTCCTCCTCTTCTGGGCAGGCACTCCCTCACTCCACCTCACCCTCTTTTTCTTCTTCCCCACGCCCAATGCCTCCATCTCCTTCAAAGACCTCTCATTCAAAGGGTCTGTTGGGGGCGGCCGTGGCACAAAATTGCCAAAGTTTTTCTCTCCCAAGGGTTTGGGGCGAGGTCGAATCCTCTCCCTCGCAACCGGTTTTGGTGGTCAGTCGGCCTGAGACTCTTTGAATTTTTGGGCTTTAGTAAGGATGGCCTGATCCTCCGCCTCTTGAGCCCTTCTCCTCGCCTCCAACTCCGTTCGGTTGAGGTCCCCACTACTTGGCTTTGGACCCAACCCTGCCTCAAACAATGCAGACGGATGAACAAGCTCGTCCCATTTGGCCCCTTCTTTCTCTCTCCACCCCTTCACCCTCCCCTCCGCGGCTGCTCCTAGTTTCGGCTCCACAGACCTGGTGGGTACTTTCCAAATGGTGTGCACTCCAAGCCCCCTATTGACAGACACGTAGAACCATCGTGGTCACCACCCCTTGATCGACGACGGCAGCCCCACCACCAACCCTTTCCCCACTGTTGCCTGCAGAGTGACCCACGTCTCCTGCTGCCTCGAGGCCTTATAATATGCAAAGAATTCGTCTACTGTCATGGCCTCCCTTCCATTCGCCTTCGGCCACGCACTTGCACAGGCCAGCAGGATCTTCCATGCATTGGGTATTAGTTGCCCCGGTGCTACCTCCAGACGGTTGAGTACATCCACTACCACTTGCGGCAGTGGCAACCTCAGTCCACCCTTCAGAGCTTCCTCATAAAGGGAAAACTCTCGTGGCCTGGCGTCAGACGGCTTTTCCGTTGATGTCGGCAGCAATAACTCCACTTCCACAGGGATCTGGTATTTTTCGCGGATAGCCTCCAACTCCGCTGCAGTAATCGTGGATTTGTCAGCCTTCGTGTGCCAATGATCTGGTTCCGCTTGGCTGATTGGCTTTGAAGCTGCTATCATGGTGGAACCATGTGATCGTACCACCGACTCCCCCACCCTCTCTGTCCTATACTGCGCCGCTAGCTCCACTGCATCATCATCACCAAGTGGATCCACCCTCACACTCACAGCTTCTTCTTGGGCCATTTTTATGGAATGTTTGCGAATCGCTTCTGACGCAGGAGCAAGAAAATTAAAAAACTGTTGTAGAGGTGTATCGTGAGCAACGAAGGAATTAACACTTGGGATGTTTTGAGTTTTTGTAAAGCCAAAACTGTCTTTTCAACACCCATAATGACCTATCGTTTCATTTCTGCTCCAACGCCTAACCTCCCCCCCTAACATATTGCCACGTGTACAACCATGATGCACTGTCTGCTCCCCTTACCCTATCTTTTCCACTTCAAATCATCACTTGACACGCCGCCTCTTGAGCCCCGCGCCCCTTCGCTCGGCCTTCGCGCACGGTCGCCCCTCCTCCCGGTCGGCCCCCCGCTCGGCCTTCACGCACGGTCGCCCCTCCTCACGGTCGGCCCTTCCGCTCGGCCTTCGCGCGATCAGTCCTCCTCACGGTCTTCCTTGCCGCTCGGCCTTCGCGCGATCAGCCCTCTTTACGGTCGGACCATCTCACGTTCGATCCACCAACTCGACCGCCCATCCCGGTCGGACTCATCTTCCTCATACATATTCCCTTCGTTGAATTGAAGCTACACTCGGGAATGGGGGACTACTGATATGGACAGGCTTACAAAGGCCATGAACCACTATAAACAACCCAAGCTCGTCAATCGGAGCCCAATACATAACCCAGTCGAAGAAATCCAGAACAGCTAGAATCCAACATGGCATAAGAACCAATGGCATTCAGGCACGTGGTGGGTGAAGGACGAGCCACATCAGCAGACAAAGATCTGCAAAGTTATTGCCACTGCACATCACCATTAATGTAGCGCGTCAAAGCATTTATTACGACAACACTTCCCGTCGGAACAGGGTCCCCTTACCCTGAACAAGGTAAGTTACGGCATAGACTTTCGGTGACGAGGGCAGGTCGAAAGAGACGGCGAAATGATTACCAAAGAATATAAGCAAACGTTGAAGACAAGAAGAAGGTTAAGCTTTCTATCTCTAATCTCTCCCTCTATACTCTACTTCTCTTCCTAACTTGCTCGTCGGAGGGTTCACTAGGGGACTACCTCGTTCCCCGTGGAACTTGTTTGCAGGATATTCGGTGGGCTTGATCATTTGGACTTGGGCTTGAGGAGCTCGGACCAGTTCGCTTCATTTATTGGGATAAACTGTATCATCAAAAACTAATGATATTAATGACAATGGTGAGTTTTGGTGGGGTGAATTGGAGTTTTGGAGTGAGAAAGAAGAAAAAGAGAAAATGATTAAAACTCAGAAAAGAAGATGAAAAGATTTGAATAAAAAGAATACGTATAATTGATTAGGGTATATTATGAAAAAAAAATAATATTTTATTTTAATGTTTAATATGTGTTGTCCTTATTAGTATATTCACATTAAGATATAATTAGAATTAAAATTTTAGAATTTGAATTGGGTGCATTGAGATAATTTTTGGGTTCAAATAAAATGGCCCGTACATGTTGTGTCTCGATTTAGTTGGCCAATTGTATTTTGACTATAGCAGAATAGTGTCGCACCAACAACAAAAAAAAATGTTTTGAAATTTTAATTTGTGAGTTCTAATAGTTCTAACAGTACGTAGGATCTATCTATTATGATGTTTTAATCCTTTTTTTTTTTAATTTTAGTTTTATTTTTCACTTTATTAAAATTTAATTAAAATTTTAATTTTGGAGGGATGTATGACTATTAAAAAAACCAAAGTTGGTATTGTAACAAATTTTAGGTCAAGTTTGGTAAGTTGTCAAAAAAATTACTCAAAAAGTTACAAGGTTATCATTATTCATCAAAAGTCAAAAATTACAACTGCACAACTTGCGATCCTAATTTTTTCTTACACACTAATTTATACAATTTTTTTATAAAAAATTAAAAAATTAACCTATCAAATATTTATATTTTTTTAATTTTTTAATATAAAAAAATAAAAAATACACTAATTTTAGACCGCTCAAACAATTCCATACTCACAAATGGACTGCACATCTCTTTATTTCACTGACAAGATTCCAAAATTTGTAATTGTCCTGTACTTTCCCTTACTCGGCAAAAACAAATACCATGAATAATAATAAGTGTATATAAAGTGAAAAACAAAATTACTAATAAAACCGTGGCTTTAATAGTAGAGAACTATAGAGAACTTGCCCCACGCACAACACACAGCAAGCAAATAACAGTGAAAGCGTCAAGATCGGGTCTAGGGTTCCTCAAATTCATCACCTCTTATCTCTCTCTCTCTCTCTCATCTCATAATCCACAGTCAGTTGTGGAATCTCTCTACAACTTCTTGCCCTCAGGTAGACGCATATCATTTCTTAATTCACATTTAATTACTGTAATTGCTTCATTACTTGTTTCCATTTTCGATCGATTTGAGCTGTTTATGTATTTATTTATTTTTTTATGCATGTTTTAGGTGTTGAAATTGGTGGGAAGGGTTGGTTGTGGTTTGGTAGGTTGATCGGAGGTTTTGTTGAAGCTGAGATTTGAGGTTGCAAATGCCGGACGAGGACTTGGTGGAGCTTAAGTTCCGATTGTATGACGGAACAGACATCGGTCCGTTTCGGTACTCACCGGCTTCCACAGTAGCCATGCTCAAGGAGAGAATTGTCGCTGAGTGGCCTAAAGGTTAGAAGTTTTACTCTTATGGGTACACTCTCGCCCGTGAATTTAATTGTATCCATATCTATATCTATATCTATATCTATATCTATATCTACATATCAGTGTTTCAATTGAAGTTGGTTTGTTCGATGGTAATTATGTGGCATTATTGTTCCTTGGATTGTAATAGGTGACCCTTTTATTTGTGTGAGATTTATTCAATTAAGAATGGCAAATCCTAACGATCACTGCCCTGCAACCATGGGGCATTGTGTAGTATTGCAATTGGGTGAAAAGTTCATTGGAAATAGGTTGAAAGCTTAAAATGGGTTCTGAAATAAGTAAAAAATGTTTCGAAATTGGTAAATGCTGTCTCATGTTTTTCATATTTTTTATTTTTTTGTTTTCATGTGCCCCAAGGCCACTTGTTAGCAATAACATGAATTTTCACCTGTTCAAATTTGGAACCAATTTATGTATATATATATATATAATTTTTTGCCTAAAGCTCAAGGTTACTTTGTGTCTGTTGGTACTTGATAAGAAATGTCCGTCAGTTCTTGAAGCATTAAATGCATAGGGCTTAGATCGTGTGCATGATATATGAATGGAACTCCTCTTGTTTACGAGGCAAGGAGGGCCGCTGCAATCCACGTGAAATTTTTGGGTCTGAAATCTAGTTTTTATGCTGTTTAAAACAGGAAAAAATGGGTTTTTATTCTTACTGCTGCAAAAGATCTTATTCTATGATTCTAAGTATATCTAGGTAGAAAGTTTCTGTATCCTTCCTCTTTAAGAAAGACGACTAATATATATACATGTATGTTGTCCTTATCATTCTTTCAATGGTTAATTAGAAGAACCTAAGCTTATCAAAATATTTTAACTGAAAAAAGTACTTGCTGGCTTCATTAAAAACTTTGGTGGTATGCTCCAACTTCTCCTTGATGGTTTCCCCATGCAAGTATAAAGGCATGCACTCTATAGAGTTTTATACAAGTATATGACACGTCTCATTTTTATGCTTTGCCTTCTATAGTAACTGTCATCTTAAGTGAAAAATGAATGCCTGGTTGCTTCATTTGTAAACTAATTCTCAATCGTGACTATTTTATAGAAAGGCTAATATAGTGGGAAGCATTCATCTTTATCAAGATGTACATATTCACAAATACGATGAAGTTGTTTGTCATCATTTGTTTAATCCAAATAATCAGCACCCTCTCTCATAGAGTATTTTCACACACTATAATCTTTTGATTTAGCTAACTATCCTAGATCCATAATCACTAGTTAATGTCACCTGAATATTTTGATAGTTGTGGAGTATTTGTGCCAAATATGAGTCTTATGACATCTTAAGGTTGGGGATATGGTATCATAATACATTTTTGTTGTCCTAATTGGGTCTTATATTACCAATTTATATGTTCTTTTAATGAACATTAAATATAAGTGTATGTATGCATGTCGAGCTCCACAACATGGCATCACCATGTCATCTCCATATTGGCATCTCAAAAGATCATGGTCCTAGCCTCGTGAAGTGACATGGATCAATGACATGTCTCTACAGGCTCTCCTCTAGCAAGTCTAGAGCCATGATTTTTATCTAGTGGGGGGGAATTTTTTACCTAGAATCATATACAGTCGCGCCTTTTTTTTTTTCTTTCATATTTGCTAATAGAACAAAATAAATATTTTAACATGCTAAATATTTTCCTAATTTAAACCTTAAGTATATTTATATTTAATGTCCTGAATGGTAGTTATAGAATTCTTCATAGATGTTAATTAATTCTCTTCATAGATGTTAATTAATTCTCTTTGAAAAGGAAAAAAAAATGGTTAACTAGAATTTAATATCATGTAAACAAATTTTCCCATATCCATCAACAAATTCACATCAAATCTCAAATTATTTGCATGCTTCACCTAAAGAAATTCACCCTAGAAATCCAAACTTTTCGGTACCTCCAAATTCATGAAAAAGAAAAAGCAAGCAAAAGCCTAATATGTGTGTGTGTGACAAAGATGCTAATCAACAAGAAAAAGATGATTATCCTAATTTGACAAAACAAAAGTACGTGAAGTGGACCATAATACGCATACACATTCATGCGTGAATTATGATTAAATGGCACTTTATGTTTATAAAAACACAGTATATAAGACTTAATGCATCTTTAACTTCAATGCAGGGTTTTGTACTTGGCTTTGATAAATTTGCTGTTTTGTATTTTTGCATTCTTGCCAAAAAGGGCTGCTGCTATCAATTGATGGGTTGCCACCAGAAATTATAATCTTAACCATATAGTATAGCAGATGAAATTAGTCTAAATGAGAAAACATATTGAATAAACACACATATATATATTTTTCTTATATTGGTTAAATTAGATAATGGATTTCATTTCTTTACCTTGTACTTGCTTGGTTAACAAATATTGAACAATAAATACAAATTCAGGCAACCTAAACAATCTTCGACTCCAACGAAAAGTGTAAGATGCTGTATTCTGGCTCATCATATGTATGCATGGGGAAACTAAAAGTGCTTACTGTCATGCTCTATTTCTGGGGAAAAAAGTAGTCCCGTGCTACTCTTTTCTTCCTTGCATGCCACAATGATTCATTTTTCATCTTTTTTGTAAATTCGGTTCATGCGCATGATGCCTAGTGAAAGTATGCAACCAAACAAAAGCCTTGTCAAAATGTAGGCTCACAAATCTGATGCTGGAGGAGGTGATGAAGGCAAAGTATGGATGTATGTAGTGAGATTGGATGTCATCAGAAGATTCTGCCTTATGGAATAGGTCTTTGGAAGGGCATCAGGAGGGGATGGAGTGTTTTTAAAATCCATATGAGGTTTTTAGTGGATAATGATACAAAGGTTCGTAACGTTGTTTACATCACCTTTGGTGTGGGGAGGAGAGGTTGTGGGTGGCTTTTTAAGCTCTTGTTAGGATTGCACTGCATAGAGGAGTTGCAGTCAGCGACTACCTCAAGATAAAAGGGAACAATATTTTCCAGGATATTGCGTTTCGAAGATTTAAATGATTGGGAGGCGGAGGAGTTGATACCTTTCCTTGGGGTGTTTATGCATTCTTGGAGGACAGCTAGAGTGCATAGGAGAATGGAAGAATGCTTGGTGCTTGGGGCCTTTGGCTCTGATGTCAGATTATTTGGAAAGAGCACACATGGCTTGGAGACTCCTATTTTATTTTGAAGACTAGGATTTTGTATATTTGGTTTTAGGTTGAGTTTGATCCCTCTTTGAACCAAATTTTGGATTTTGAAGAGGCTTATAAATGGATCTATTGTATAGATGTGTTTTGTTTAGTTTTCTTGCTTTGAGATACTTGAATTATGTGACTTTCCTATGTAATTCTTTTGATGGATAATAGACTTGCTTTTGTTTCAGTTTTTCAAGCTATTCATCTCTCTCTCTCTCTCCCCCCTCTTATCATTGCCTTTTTTTGGGGTAACTTTTTAATATAGGATATTCATGCTAACTTTTTAAATTCAAACACATTTTTCACTTGGTAAAAAAAAAAAGAGAAAGAGGAGTTGGCTTGATTTTGAAAAGTTGCAGGTTGCAAGATTTCTAGAGTAAGCCACAAGAATTTTCTAAATAACTATTTTAAGGCTTGACCAAACCAGCCTGAGAATCATATCTTGCCAAATACCTACACAATCCCCAAGCCAAATAGGAAAAAACCCACCACCCTGGAGAGAGAGTGAGAGAGTGCATTAATAATGATTCTTTGTCATCAATTGGTGAAGATTCCAACAATGAGAAGAGTTGATAAGGTATGGTATATTTGGTAAATGGCTGTGTCATGTCGTAGAGGTGAGTTGGCGCGATGGCAAGTGCTATCTGTCCCATTGTTGTTCGATTTTCAGGAATTAGTCTTTCCACAAAAAGTGGTGATATGGCTGTCTACCTACTATCTCTGCTGGACCTTACTCTAAGCAAGAGCCTTGTTCATTGGGTAGGACTTTTTTTATTATTATTAATTATTTATATTTGTGTGTGTGATGCCATATTGAATGGTTATGCTAGTTATGGCAACTGCACCATCAATTTTTCATTTTGATTTTACACACTAAGACAATCCCATGTTGCTCTCCATCTTTATATAAAATCACAATAGATGTTGGAAATTTCATTTCCTTGTCCTGCTGCATCAACTAAATGGTTAATATAAGTTGTTAGCACCAAATGGTTTTTGGCTCATAATATCGTTTTCTTCTAATGACCAATGTGCATTAATCGCTTCAGCCTTGAGTTTCTGCACTTTGTCAAGCAATAAAGTAGGATATGGATATTTGGATTACATTGATATTTTATGTCATTTTTCAGCTTGTCTTAATTGCTAAGAAGCATGGACATAGATATAGATGCGGACACGGGACACAGCGATTTCAAAAAAATTGGGACACACTGTGGGAACATGGCAATAAAATATGTTTTCATATATTTTTATTTGCTATCTAGATTAATATTACATCTACAAACAATCAATATCAACAAAAACTAATTTTAATTCTAATTTTTTTTGGTTAAAAAAACACTTTTAAATTAACACTTATAGGCCCCGTTTGTTTTCAGAGGTAGAATGGAGGGGATTGATAGTGAGGGGATTGTTAGTAGGGGATTGATAGTGAGGGGATTAAGTAAAATTGTGTTTGTTTTAATGATAGTTGTTAGTGTAGGAATTGTTAAATTATTTTTATATAAAATAATAAAACAAATAAAAAAATATAAAAAATTAAACATTAATATTTATAAAAAAATTCCCAATATATAACAAATAAAAAAAATAAAAAAATTCTAATCCCTTCATTATTTTTCTAATACCATCTCCTTAACTTCCATCTCAATCCCCTCCTCAACCTCCATCTATATCACCTCCACCATCCTAATCCCTTCCCCAACTCTACAAATAAACACAACATTAAATAACACCTCCACCATCTTAATCCCCTCCCATCTATTTAACCCAAAACAAACGGGCCCATAGTTTGTATTTTTTTTATTGTGAATGATCTATTAAGTATTTAAATCTAAGAAAAAAATAATAAGTATTCAACATTCATCAAAAGTACTAAATAGCATGTTCTTAGTGTGTCTCTAAAGTGTCTCCTGAAAATAAATTAATTAAATAAGGGGGACATGTCATGTGGTGTGTCCCGGAAGTATCCACGTGTCCCCGAAGTGTCCGCGTGTGCAACACGGATATGACTAGCATGTTCTTAGTGTGTCCCTAAAGTGTCTCCTGAAAATAAATTAATTAAATAAGGGGGACATGTCATGTGGTGTGTCCCGGAAGTATCGACGTGTCCCCGAAGTGTCCGCGTGTGCAACACGGATATGACACTTATTTTGAAGTGTTGGTGCTTCGTAGCTTAATTTCCTATATCTTCATTTTAACTGGCCTTTTTATTTTTATTTTTTTTATTTTTGTGATTTTCCTCTGATATTTGATAGTTGCATTGGTTTACCTTAGATAAAAAAATTGCACCGAAGGCAGCGAATGATGTCAAACTGATAAATGCTGGAAAAATTCTGGAGAACGGCAAGACTGTTGGCCAATGCAGAATACCATTTGGAGAGCTTCCAAAAAGTGTCATAACCATGCATGTTGTTGTGCAGCCGTCTTTAGCAAAAGCAAAAACAGGTAGTTTCTATCTTGCTGGTACAGTTTGGGGTGTAATGCCTACCCCATTGCAACTTTCCTGTTGGATGACTTGATACACTTGCGGTACATGAAAAAAATGTATTGGATTCAAATTCATAGGCATTATTTCCAACAATTGCCGTATATATTTTTCACTTTCAAATATATTTACAACTGTTTATAAGCGATAGTTTTGGAAACTTCCACACTTTATGCTTTGATTTTTCAAAGTGGACAATCTTTTTGGGAGCAAAAATGGGTGGAAGGAGTATTTCATTATTATTATTATTTTATTCATATATATTTAAATTTTTTAAAATATATTTGTGGTTTAGTTCTCTGATATACATTTATTGACCTCAGTTCAGAAATCTCTTCAACCCAAATTTTGGTTTCCTGGTTGTCTAGGGAAAAAATAGTTATATTGCATCCTATGTGAAGATTTCTAACTGTTTTTGAATGTGCTATGCACATGCCTTGTTTTTGTGTAAGATAATTGATTGAATGTAATTGCCCATGTCCTCCCCCATTCATATAAAATGCAAGCCCCTTTTTTCAGTTTCTGGTAGTTGATTGTTTATTGTCAATTAGTTACAGGGACAGCCTCCCATGGAAGTTGGTTATCATGAGGTTAGCTTAGTGGCCAGAGCCTATGAATCTCACTACGGGGTCATGGGGTCAATTTTCCTTTCACCATCCATTGTATGAGAAAAAAAGTTTTGTACAATATAATCATTTGGAAAGACGATGTATGATCTTCTACTTTCAGCACCACTATAGTGAACAAACAGCTTAAGATAGCTTAGAGAAAAATAGAGAGAAGAGAATAGGAGAGGAAAGCCTAGGCAATCAGACCTAGGTTCATTAAATACCTCAGTCACAAGCTTAAACTAGATTTGCTAACCTCCCTTGGGTATTTCTCTACTCTTGGAAAGACGAGGTTAAAAAGTTACACAAGTTTTTCTTTGTGGAGGAACGACTCACCACCCTCCACCTCATTCATGAAAAAGTGATGGAGAGTACATTTTGACAAGACTTTTATGGTGATCTTGAGTAGAAAGATTATCAGAAGGATTGGGATTGTGTGCTGCCCATGGTGCTCTGGGTCTGTCATACCTCCCACCTCTGGAACCGAGACAGTTTCCCGTGCAAATGATAGTCTCCTACACTCAAATGGTCCTTCAAAGTATTTTGATTTGAGTTATTCCCTTTGAAGTGTTTTATATTGCTTGTACTATGTTGGTTTTGGTCCTTTTCTGAGTGCCCTGGCATATGATGCTCCGGGTTCAGTTATGCTATCTCATATTTCTCTGTTTTTCTTCCTAAAGTCTACCCAAAAATGTTGTATATTCTGTTGTTCTGATTCATTGCCACCTTCCATGGGATATTGGAATAGCTAGCATACTGTTGCTGCTGTGTTTGTAGTTCAGTCTTTACTAGATGACAATGACATCTCCACAGCGAAATGTCATTTGTATCATAGCAAATTAAATGGATAAAATAAATCACAGAAGAAAAAGAAATAGAAAACAGTAAATAGCTTACAAGTCAAGAATTACCTATGGCTGTTATTTTTCTTATATTTTGGCCATGAGTAGTGATAATGAGTCAGAGTCACTAATTGGTGATGGTGAAACTTTTTTTCTTTTAAAGTAAACTTGTTTACTAAACTCCAATATTTATGAGACTTGGTGCAGTAATGGGAATTATTATTTTTAGTTACATTAGATGGTTTAGATGCATATTACTGCTACTACTGGGGTTGCAAAGCCCTGTCCGTTTAGTGAGGAGTTTATTTATACCAAGTAAATCAAGTATGTATTGGAACTGCAAATTTTGTGATATTTATTGCATAAAATCTTTGGATAATAGTTTGACTGTTTCTTCTCTAATATAGTTGCTGAAAGCCATGCATTTTCTTTGTTTGAACAGAAAAGAAGGTTGATGAGGCTCCGAGGAAAAACTTCTGCCAATGTTCAATATTGTGAGAAGTTAAAAGTTTGATTCAGAATTAATCTTGTGAGATTCTTGTTGGGATCAACCGGTCTGTGGAATTGAGCAGTTGGAAAGACAATAATTTGTAAACAGTACCATATACCTCATTTTACATATGTTTGTTGGAGGGCATTCCTTTGTAACACTGCTTGTCGTTTGTTATGCATATCTGCCTTTTATAAATTCTTGTGTTTGTGTACATTTATAGCTCTGCAGTCCTTTGCATATATTAATACAAGGCTTTTGGGGTTTGGTAACCTCAAAAGGGCTTTACGTTACCTTTACGTCTTAGTTTATATCATTATGACTAGGTATGTTTGGGGGTTGTATAACTGGCAATGCTGCTAAGCCTTCTAAGACCTAGAATAAAATGAGTGTGCCAGGACCTAGAATAACATGAGTTAAAGTTTTTTAAGCTGGCATTTGAGGGTAAGACTCATCATGTTCATTAATCTTACATCACTGGTTTCTTGTCATTTTGCTCTCGGTTGGATTGAGATCAGGTTATGGCCATCTTGAGAGAGCGTTTGCGGACCACTTGCGTGCGGTACTTCTGCATTGATTAGTCTGTCTAGATCATTTTTGTTCAGTTTTTCAGTGGGTAAAAGACTCGTAGAATCATATTTGGATTTCTTTTATTGCCTAGCAGAACACACAAGTACATATGCACTGGCGGTTCTACTATGCAAGGTTTCTTATTTTGCTAAAAAAATCTATGTACAAAGATTTGGTGTGTAGGCATCTTAACTATAAATTTATGTTTGGTAGTATGTTTTTTGTTTTGATTTATGGAAAAGGTAGTGTAGTGCTATAGGAATATAATTTATATTAATTATTCATACGAAAAAATTTTTGAATTACCATTATAGTTCATGATTTATTGTTACATCATTTTCAATGAATTTTTTATATATAAAATTTGTTTATGCTTTGAGTAACTATATATATATAAATTAAAAAAAAAAAAGAAACTCTAATACTATGGATGATATGCTCTGAGTAACTGTAATAATACTATGAATTAAAACACCCACGGTATTGATAATAAATAGAGAAATGTTAGGGAATATGAAAATTTTTTTATGAAAATGATCATGAAAGATTTGTAATATTTAAATTACCTTAATTAGTCTGTGGTGTTTTATTCTATGTGTAATTCAAAGGTCACAAATCTTTCGTGATTATTTTCATTAAAGACTTTTCATGATACCTAACATTGCTATAATAAAGAAAAAAGTTAGGGATCATGAAATTTTTTTCATGAAAATGATATGAAAGAGTTATAATTTTTAGATTACCTTGATTAGTGTGTGGTGTTTTTTTTCTAAGTGTAATCAAAGGGTCAAAAAGTTTTCATGATTATTTTTATAAATTTTTTTTTCATGATATCTAGTATTACTGTATAAAAAATGAGAAATGTTAGGAATCATGAAATTTTTTTCATGAAAATCATCATGAAAAATTTGTGACTCTTAGATTATCTTGATTAGTGTGTGGTGCTTTATTATAAGTGTAATCCAAAGGTCACAAATCTTTCATGACCATTTTCATGAAAGACTTTTCATGATACCTAGCATTGCTGATAAAAAATATGAGTGGATACCCAACTAGTAATAAAATGATGTAATTGAATTGTGAGCGCATCACCTAATAGAACTCAACCAGATGCCCTTTAGTTACAAATAAAAAGATGGATACAACCCATCGAGATGCCCTTCAGTCACAAATCAAAAGATGAGTATAAAGATGTGTACAGAATTCACACACAAAAATATATTCGGAATATTTCTGTGCACAGATTCTGTATCCGTAACATAACTGCAAACAACTACCATGCAAAAGATCAGCATCGCCATGCAGAAGCAGCAAGGATAGCTCTATCTAGCCACCCCAAAAGCAAACAACCATTGTCTACCTTCAATCTATACCCATCACAATTATACAAACCCAGCAATATCTCCGACTGGTTCACCGCATTCGCACTCAGCGCCACCCCTTTAAATCCTTTCCCTTCCATAATCTTCCTCCACTTCTCCAACCTCTCATGCCTTATCACCCTCTCCGCTCCCTCACACGCCACGATGTTCCGAATCTCCGGCGCAAATATATACTGCTCCACCTTCGCCCTCTGAGCGGACTCCGCTGGAAAAGTTGCATCCAAAGAGTCGAAAACCGCTGAATAATAATGCAAAGCCTCGAGAAACCGGCCCAAGAAGTAAGTTCCGTTATGGTTCGCTTCTCTCTCCACAATTGTCACTATGTTGGGCGCTTGGTCTCTGATCATTGCTAGAAGGTTCTGAAGACTGTTGGCTGGAACGCGGTGGAGGCAATTAACTGAATTAACAGCTAAAGCCTCGCCTACGTGGCGGTTGAACATGTGGGGCTTTAGCTCTTCGAGTTGTTCGCTAATAGGGTGGAATTCGAAGGGGACGTGAAGAGAGTGGGCGAGTTCGGTTAAGCAGCGGCCGGTTTCTCTGACGAGTTCAGGCAAGGGGCCGACACCGGTGATGCGGAGAAAGGGAGGGCCACCAGGGCGGGCAGCGAGGGCTTGCATGAAGGCAGGCCATTGGTAGCCTTGGAGGATGTCGAGATCAATGATGTGAACACGATCTTCAGCTTCAAAGGTTTCGAAGATGGCTTGGTTGGCGGTGAAATGGGCGAATTTGACGTAGGGACAGGCTTGGTAGAGGATTTGGTAGATTTTGAGGATTTCAAGGGAGTTAGAAGGGAAGATAGTGAAGAAGGGGGGGGCTTGGGGCTTGGGTGCGGGTGGGGGTGGGGTTGGGGTTGGGTTTTGTTAGGGTGGAAGCGAGTCTGGCGCTTAGGGCTTCGGTGAAGCAAGAGGCGACCCGTTGCATGGAGTCGCCGAGGGGGGTGACGAGTTGGTTGAGGTGGTGGAGGTATCTCCTTGCTGACATGTAGTCTTTTTTCGAAATTGATTCAACACAAACTAGAAGGAGGTGCACCAGTTGAAGCCCACTATCTTGTTCCTGTTGTATATTTCAAACCAAAAATGTTATGAAAAATGAAAAATGTGACAAATTTTATTGATATTTTCATCTCCCAATGGATGATCTGCATTCACATAACAAATAAAAAAATAATTTGGTAAAATTGATTTGATGATACATAATAATCCTTTTCGGTATATGAAAAGACAACAATTCAAAAAATATATATGACACAAAGTGAGCTAGTCCAGTCGATCATTACCATTCTTGTATATTAGGAGTAAATTCTTGCCAACGGCATGTAGTGCTTGGATTATTTCGTGTGGTTATTGTTGGCTTTTACGTTGTTAGACTCCTATTGTTTAGTTCAGGTTGTAACTCATTCATGATGGAATTTTTTAAACAAAATTTCTGTTTTTCTGATCCAATTACATAAGGAAACGGAATATAACATGGGAGAGAGAGAGAGAGAGAAAGGGATTTGCCTGCTCGGGTCCAATAGGAGGAGGCACCACCATGCCATGGTTAATATTATGTGGTTGCACTTGCTGTTGTCTTGGCGGTGGTTGCTGCTGCTGCTGCCTCTCTTGCAACCGTTCTTGCTGAAGTTGCAGTAACAATGGTGCGGTTTCAAGAGACCCCACCTGATGATGATTATGATAAATCTCACTTTCTAGTGTCAATTGTGATCCTGAACCTCCTCCACCACCTCCACTCCCCGATCTTTCATTCACTGATCCACTATACCTCGAAGAAGAAGAAGAAGAAGAACAAGGCACTGTCAACCAGTCTAGCGTATCATAACACTCAGACTCTGATGAACTCTTGATCGTCGTCGGAAAACCTATCAATTCTTCATCTCTCTGATTAAAATCATCCAAGAAATTCTCAAGAGCCGGCAACGAAAGGCTCTCCGATGGTTGCATATACTGATTGTTGGGTGAGTTAAAAACTCTATGAAGCGGACTCAAAAGGCCTTTCCCTTTCTGGGTACTACTACTATTGCTTTGAGATGAAATGCGATTTGGAGAGTACCTCATAAGGCTTGATTGAGCTGAATTGTAACCGTAATTGAAGTTTGAAGCTTGTGGTGAAGCCATGTTCCTCACAGGCGGCGATGATATCATGAAATCGCCTTCCAAGAGATCGGAGAAAAGAGACTCCCATAATGAATTATCCGGGGACTGAATTTCAACGTCTCCGTCTACTTCAAATTTAGGTGCTGCTGGGAAGCTCAGACTTGATGGGATTAGGCTATTTTGATCATGATCGAAGTTTGCCGAGAGTGGAGTCTTCTTAGAATCCGATACCGGCTCGTTGATCATCCTCCTACTCTAATGAGAACAGTGAGATTTGAAACAAGTGTTTTCTTGTTATCTCTTCTAATTAATAAGCTCTCTCCCCCTCAAAGAGAAATGGTGTGTGTTGCAATGCTCTCTCACATAAATCTTTCTTCCTATGGGTGGTTCTAAAAGTTGATACGGTATATAGAGCAAATGTTGGGGCTTGTGATCTTTTTTTATTTTTTTTAAATCTCAAAAGAACAAAAAAAGAGCTATTTAGATTGTCTCTGGAAGAGTTTGAATCCTCGAGACAAATCGCCAGTTTATTTTCATGTGTTTGGAGGTTACTGATTAAATGGGATGGAAGATCTCTTAAATTTTTGGGTTGCTGGTGTCATATTGTTATATTTTATATTATTGGGTGATTATTGTCATCTCTTAAAATTTTGAAATAATTAGTAATTCAAAGTGGTATCAGAATTTCGATTTTAGGAGATTCTCATTTAAGTCTTATCATCTCATTGTTTTTGTTAATATATATTTTGTAATATAATTTGTTGAGAGTATTAGATTAATATACATTACTGTTTATTCCTAACAACATAAGTTTTTAAAACAATTTGTTTGGGCGGACTGGATTAGCATTCCCATGACTAATAGTCCTAGGGGTACAAATCCATTGGATTATGTATCCTATCTTAACTAATAGAATCCAACAAATTTGTAGGATTATTAATAATGGGGTAGGGGTGGGATTGTGAATACCACACTAATTTGATAGGATTATTTATACCTCACTATTAGTCTTGTGGAATCAAACAAGCCCTTAGTGACTTAATAGTCACTTATAGCCATTAAATCATGTCAAAATATCATGTAGGAAAAAAAAAAAAATTAAGAATAAAGAATTCCTTTTCCACCTTCATTTGATCCCCTCTTACTATAGTTGTTTTCTAGGGCCATAACT